AGATGTCTAGAGACAGATTAAATTTCTGCTCAGCTGCTGCACAACTGTGCAGTTGCTGCCCTGTTACACTTTTTAGGCTCACAAATTGTCCAGGGAAAGTGTTAGTCATAGTCCAAGTTAGAGGGTGGGTAAAATCCAGTTCCAAATTAAAAGATGAACAGGACAAAAGGGAAAACTCCATTTGTATTTCAAAGCAGGGAGACTAACAGGAAGTCCCACCAAGGAAAACTTTCAGGGATTGTTTAAGATGAACTTTCTCTGAAGGGCCTCAATTGCCTACCCCAACAGGACAGCATGACCATCTAACTACGTCCATTATATACCAGTAATTGCCATCTATAACTTACGATGCAAACATGTTAAAGGCAGGCTTATAGTTTAATGCCTGGCAGTAAAACATGCGAGATTAGAGAATACTCATAAAAGAACATAAAATTTGCTCACATTTACTAAGCATTTAAAACACACATTCCTGTGGACTAGAAATTTAACCTAATTAAATTGTCATTAGACCTGGTGGCATTTTCATTAAGTACTTAACCAAGTAGTTACTATGCATCACCCCTATGTGCAGAGAAGACCCACACTATCTCTGCCTGCCTAAAGAATGCACTCTAGCCAGGAGATACACTTAATGCCCAGCTAAGAGTGGAGGGCCCATCCGATTTCCATGGCACTTTCCTCATGTATGGCACTGCAGATTTCATGCTGTGGAAACACTCCTACAATGTCAGAAAATTGGGGGGATCACCAGAAAAATCCCACCAGGGATCATGACCGCATATAGTATTACAAAGAACCAAGAGTTCCATAAACTGTGTGCGTGAGATGAGTCCTGTTTCTTAGATGAAGACGCTGAATTTTAGAAAACTGAAGTAATGTCCTTAAACCCACACGTGCCCAGTGGAGGTTCTGCTGCCTGCTCTCCTCCCTCCCATGACCCAGCACCACATAGGACTTGAAATGGCTTCTGATACTTTATCCTCCCCAGGCAAATCTGGATCAAGCACAGTACAAATTGTACAAGACAGAGCAAACACATACGAATGCCTGCTGGAAGAATATTCATGAGAAAGGAGGGCTTGAGAGCCAATCCCTGGGGCTTGCATCCTGAGTGCAACCCATTCCAGCTCACATACCTGCCAATCCTCTGTCATCCCCATTTGCCAGCAATGGGTGGTTCCCACACAAACAAAAGCAAGCATTACTGTCAGGATGACTGGAGCCCTCTGCGGGAGACAGTGTTTCTTCAAGTGTGAGGAGTGGGCTAGGAGAGGGGGATTGTAAAACTTGGCAGGGCATATCTAACTATTTCTAACCAGTGACTAGGAAATGCCCCTGGAGGGCATCTCTGCAGAAGGCACTGGTTCCTTTTGATTAACAAGATGTAATGTTCCCAGGTTGGGAGTAAGTAAGAAAAGGATCATTGAGCACCTTGATTTGACTGGCATGTTCTATTTGAAACAAGAACTCAGGGTGTCTTGACAATTGCTGTTTGGGGCACCCCATATACACCATCATGTGTCAGCTCCAATGTCTGCAATGTGTTCTTTTTTGTCTTGTTTCCTGTACACTGAGAAAACCCTGAAATTCTGTACAGGAAGCACTTGCTGGTGTCTGCTGAATGGATGATAAGCAGGCAACAGTGTTAGTTTCTAACCTATGAAGGTGGACAAGCTTCCCCTGCTTCCCCAGGCTTTGACTTTCTGGGGTTAGTCACTTTTAAAATACCTTCTAAAGGCAACTTTAAAAGACGAAAACACATGCATATAGCTGTAGACATTTCTCCACCACTGGTTGGTCCCGTTTCTTTGGGTCTGAGGCAAAGTGGTGAGAAAATGTTCTTAATGATGGAAGATTTGATTGTTCATGAAATTTCAAAAGATCAGTAGAGATGGCTTAGAAGCTAAGAATCCTTACTGTACTTATGGAGGACCCCAATTTGATTCCCAGCGTCTATATCAGATGGCTCACTACTGCCTGTAATTAATTACACTGCCAGGGAATTAGACACCTTTTTTGGGACTATGAGGGTACTGCACACCCATACACACTATTTCCCACTCTACTACTACCACACAGAACACACACAATAATTAAAAGTAAAAAGAATCTTTGGACTGGAGAGACGACTCAGCAGTTAAGAGCACTGGCTGCTCTTCTAAAGGACCCAGGTTCAACTCCCAGTACCCATGTGGAGTTCCACAACCACCTGTAACTTCAGTTTTAGGGGATAATATGTCCTCTCTGGATTCCATAGGCACCAGGCATGCACACTGTGCACAGACATACAGATAGATAAAATACTCATGCACTTAGTATAAAACAATATAAAATTTTAAAATAGTTATAAAACAATATAACTGGTACAATTTAATGAACACATGCTCATGTGCACATGCACATTTACACACACAAACACACATGCATGTGCCCACACACATGTGCATACACAGGTATGCAGTGATAAGCTTCTTGAAGGCAACTATTGTTACTTGTTCATGTTTTTCATTCCCTAGTAATGCCCTAACCAATCCATCATTTCATAGGCCCTAATTCTGAAAAGGACTCTGTGGACACATAATTACTGAATCAGTAGGGTTCCAAGAACTTAAGGAAGAATGTGACTAAACACCATTTCCAGAAAGTAGTATGTTGCGTCAGAACTACATCATATGCCTTCATCTGAGTAGAGTTGAAAGGTCAGAACTATAGAGTCTGATGTGGACTGGGGTGTTTAGAGAAGACTCCATGAAGGAGAAGCATTTCTAAGTGAATAAAAAGATGTGTAGCTACTGAGAAAATAGAGTATAATCAGTAAAGTAAAGAAACGTTCCAAGAAAATTATTGTAGAAAATGAACAATTATTTTAAAATCTCTGCTCACAGAGTCAAAGCCCTGGATAACAAATCTGGAATAGAAAGTAGATATTGGGCAGAAAAGATCCATCACCTGTCCTTGTTAGTTCAATGATCATTGTTTGGTCCTCCTCTCTGTTTTTCCTGTTACTGCTCCCTTGCTGGCTTCTAAATACTGTTTTTGAGAGAAGATGATTGAGTTGGCAGCCAAATGTGCCTGTAGAACCTTGGACTTTGTTGTCCAAACACTAATCTGCTTCCTTGTCCTAGAGGGTCCAGTAAAGACTAAGGATAAAAAGCTGGCCTGCCTTGGTGACATGTTAGCCCTACTTGCCACACACACAGTCTCAATAGACATGGTCTGAAAGAATGTAGGATGGATGCTTGGTGAGAAGCCCGTTGTGTGTGTGTGTGTGTGTGTGTGTGTGTGTGTGTGTGTGTGTGTGTGTGTATTTGTGGCCCTGTGTGTATCAATTGTCTTTCAATCCAATTTGCTATAAATTCTTTTTTTAATTTATTTATTTTTCAGTTTAAATTTAGATTAGAAACAAGCTTGCTTCACAAGTCAGTTCCAGGTCCCTCTCCCTTTCCCTCCCCTCCTCCTGTGCCCTCCCCCCAACCCCCCATTATCCCCTCATTTCCCCAGGGAGGGTGAGGCCCTCCATTGGGGTGTCCATAGTCTGTCATTTCATCTAGGGCAGGGCCTAGACCCTCCCCTAAGAGTTCAGGGTGAGAATGCATCTCACATTGTTGGATGGGAGTCCAAAGTCCGTGTGTATACTCGAGATGAGTATTAATCTACTGCCCAAGGCTCAATAGATTACCTAGGCCTCCTCACTGACACCCACATTCAGGGGGTCTTGATCAGTCCGATGCTCGATTCCCGGGCTGATGCCTGGGATTCAAGAGTTAACCTTTGTCAGGTCAGCTGTTTCTGGGGGTTAAACCAGCCCAGTCTTAATGCCTTTGGTTATCAGTCCTCCCTCTCTGTTACTGGCTTTCTTGAGTTCAGCTCAGTACTTAACCATGGGAGTCTGCCTCTTCTTCCATCAGCCACTGAATGAAGTTTCTGTTTCCCAGACTCTCTGGCCATGGGATTGTAAGCTGGCACTCCCCAGATCTATGTCTAAACTCCATATATGAGAGAGTACATACCATGTTTATCTTTTTGTGACTGGGTTACCTCACTCAGGATGGTTTCTTCTAGTGTCATCCATTTGCCTGCGAATCTCAGGATTCCATTGTTTTTTTCTGCTGAATAGTACTCCATTGTGTAAATGTACCACATTTTCTCTATCCACTCTTCGGGTGAGGGACATCTAGGTTGCTTCCAAGTTCTGACTATTACAAATAATGCTGCTATGAACATAGTGGAACAGACATCCTTGTTGTATGAATGGACATCTTTTGAATATATGCCTAAGAGTGGAGTTGCTGGGTCTTGTGGTAGGTTTATTCCCATTTTTCTGAGGAATCTCCATACTGATTTCCAAAGTGGCTGAACCAGTTGGCACTCCCACCAGGAATGGAGGAGTGTTCCCCTTTCACCACATCCTCTCCAGCATAAATTGTCATTGGTGTTTTTGATTTTAGCCATTCTGAGAGGAGTGAGATGGTATCTCAGAGTTGTTTTGATTTGCATTTCCTGGATGGCTAAGGATGTTGAGCACTTTCTCAAGTGCCACTCAGCCATTTTAGATTTCTCTATTGAAAATTCTCTATTTAGTTCTGCAGCCCACTTTTTAATTGGATCCTTTGGTGTTTTGGAGACTTGCTTCTTGTGTTCTGTTGAACAGGGTTGTTTAATTCTACTCTTATTCACTCTTAAACATATGCTCTATTTAATAAATCATTCTGTTCTTATTTTATTTAGCTTTAAAATAAATTCAGTTGATTTAATAAATATAATGTTGAAATTTTCAATGAATACTTCTGAATGGGTGCACATTCCACCCTGTTTTAATACTTCCATCATGGTTAGCAATAACAATAAAATCAGTAACATCATGAGGTACAGGACACATTGAAATGAAAATGCATTGTCTTTATTAACAGTATTACCTATCACATGTGTCCTTCAAACATGCAAGTTTTCTATATGAGTACTAACAGGTGGGACTTTGGGGAGATTGAGGTCTCTACCTTCTACAAGAAGTTTCACATGGAGTGTGCTCCTTCCTTGCTTTCTCTTCTTTCCATTATGTAAGGACACAGTGTATAAGCTGCCATCTTGAGGGGAGACATCAAGCCCTCTCCAAACACAAAAATTGCTGGCCCATTGACCTCGGATTTCTCAGCCTCCAAAGCTTTGAGAAATTAATTTCTGTCATTTGTAGGCTACCCACTTTATAACAGTATGGCATAGCAATGGGAACAGACTCTTAACTTTAGCTAAACTGCTAAATTTAGTTCACTGCTAAGGAAATAGTTTAATATTAGTAAATGACATAAGCACTTCTTTTTATATGAATTTTGAATATTGGCTAATGTAGTAAACAGAAAGCACAATAGGATTGTCAGCTATCATTTCTTCATTCCTTTCTTTCTCTGATTCTTCTTTCCTTTCATGTTTCAACCTATAATCAGCATATTCTATGTGAGAGTACAGAAAGAATATATAGCATTTTAAAATGTGGGACCTCCTCCAAAGAGAAAAGGGAATAACAGTCATCATTGCCTTTGATGCTCAGATACCATAATCTAAGAAAACTGGAATCAGTGTCAGGTCCCTTTGTGAAACAAGAGGCATGTCTGCTGGATACAGTGCATTACATTCACTTGGGTGGGCAGGTCCTCAGGGGACCATGCAGCCTTACAGAACTCATCACTAAAGCTTTTTCTCACCTCAAGTTTGTAAAACTGAAATATCTTCAAGTGTTTCTAGAAGGCAGCTATCCAACTTGGTTTTAAATACCTAAAATAGATGAGGCACCAAAAATAGAGTTTAAAATATAATTTGGTATGAGAAAGGATTATTTTTAGGAAAAGGCTTTTCTGGTGTTCCTAAAACTGTACTGCTTTTCATGAAATAGCTTAAAATCCAAGGAGATGGCACCTACTGAGAAAGATGAAGAATTAAATCCCACAGCTTCACAGCAGGTAAAAGAAATCACTATGGATTGTGGATTAAGCAAATACTCTTCATTGACTGAGCTCTGCCTGGCACTTGATTTAGTAAATACAATTTTATTGAAACACAGCCACAGCACTGCTTTTACTTGTCTTTTGCTGTTTGGGGCTTCAATGGCATAGCTGAAAAGTGGCAAAGAGTAAACATCCATCAATTCTAAAATATCATCTGGCTTTGAAAACAATGAAAAGTTTCCCATCTCCTATTCTGAGATATCAGGCAACCCAGTGAGCCACTCTCCATTACATGTGACCTCTTGCAATCTCCTCTTCTAAAGATTGCCCTCCCTTGATACCATCAATAAGTTGGAGAGTATCCTTGACACATTTCACACAGGTTGCTCTAAGGATAAAATCATTGTATAATTTGGGCTCATGAGACGCTTTAATGTACAGATACAGAATAATAAAAGTGAGGATCTACTAAGTGTCTGGGCACACATAATCTAGTCACTCAAGCATCAAAGGCAGATAGCTTGTGGTTTTGAGGCCAATGTGGAATACAAAGGGAATTCCAGTCCCTGGCATTTACCCCCCCCCAAATGTATTTTCAGTTTAGATTCTGGGTTTGGTACCTGTGGAGTGAGCTCACCTGCAGCAGTACAGGCTCAAATTCACATTTCTAGTGTCTATAAGGCTCCTTGCTGTGATGTCTCACACACTCCTTTCCCTTACAACACTTTTTCAGACCATTTTCATATTCTCTTATCTGTAACCACTTAATTCAGATTTGTTCTCAATGCTCTCTAAAACCTATAATAATTATTACCATAGCCAATTTCTTCTTCTCAATATATTATATTTGGACCACAGAGTAGTTCTTCAATAAATATTTGTTGGCTATATCTATTGCTAAGCAATCACTACATCTTTCTTGCAGTTCACCAGGCTTAGTGTTGAGCTCCGAGATTACCCATGACTTTGCACTTACCAGGAATTCAGCGACTGACTGACTGCTCTCCAATAAATTTTTTTCAGTCAAAACAAAAGGCACAGGAACTGTTTAGACAGCATAGACTAAGCCACCACCAGACAGCGAGTCTTTCCACGGCAGCAGGCAGTCACTTTTTCTCTATTACCACAGCTTGTTTGTTTTGACTTTAGGAGCGAGTACCTTGTAGACACTGGCATTAGTGTAAAAGTTCTAGTGGTAAACATCACACTTCCTTTGATTTTTACAGAAAAGGTTTGCAAAATCAAATCCCCTAAAAGGGCAATAGGAGAATTGAGACAGAGGGAAGCAGCAAGCAAAATCCAGAACGGTCTATCCTGTGCTCATGAGATTATGAATCCAGGCACACTAGGGCTACCAGATACTCAGTGAAGGAAAACTTCTGTGAGAAAATGAATTTGTAAGACGTTACAGAGCATGCTTCCTCTTGCAGACAAGGTGTGTCATGATCTCTAACATGTCAAGAGAGTGATACTGTTATAAAGATATAACGCATGGACTCTCAGAGAGGAATTTCTGCCTTTTCCTGAGAAGAAACAGAAGGTTCTCCTACTCTTGTTATTAGGCAGGGCCCTCCAGCTATCTCCTATCTCTAGCAATAGATAAATATGAATGAATGTGGCATATGCCACTTCCAAATGGAGGCCTGCACATGTGAGGGCATGTAACTCTCACATTTGGTGTGAATGGAAGACGAGGAATTGAGCATCATACTGTTTCCACAGCCACCTCATAGAAGCAGTGTGGTTTCCTAAATCCAGGTGGAAACTTTCCCACCTGCTGCCAAGGGCCTTTGCATAAGCAATAAATAAAACTCTTACTTGCTAAACTAAGGAGATGAATCCTGGATTCTTTTGACTCCAAATCACTTTATTCTTATACAAATAATATCACACAGAAAATACATGGAAACATGTTGGCTTTATGGACGCTGTAACGATACGCGACACACAATTACGGAAAGTGAAGCTAAGTATTTTATGTTGAAAATTACTCACAAGATACCAAACCCCGAGAAGCCCAGCAGATCTCCGCTAGCGACTGGACCGGAAGCCGAACTCCAGGAAAAGAGAGCGAGACTTCCTGTGCACTGTCTTTTATGCCTTCCCCCGTAACGCCCCTAGCCATGCCCAAAAGTGGGCTTGGCTAGTGACGTAGTTCCGCCTACGTACGTATACGTCTTTACTTCCAGCCGTATACGTCTTTAGTCCTGCCTAAAGTGGGTGTGGTTAGCGGTGTGGTAAACCGCCCTTTTATTACCTCATCTGTATGTGCCTCTAGTAAGTCACATGTTTCATGGCGGCATAGACTTCCTCCTACAATTCCCCTTTTAGTCTAAAAAAGGACAACTAACTTGTGTCCATGAACAAAATGTATCAAACATCTATTCTATCTAAACCTAAACTTATCTTAAAGAAACACCCAAATATGAACACCTCCTTCCAATCCCAACTCTAAAATAATGGAAAACTAACACTAACAGGTGTAAACTTATAATATCAATAGTAGGGAGAGGGGGCGTGGAATTCTCAAAACTACTTCCTGCTGAGATGGGACGATGATAATCTCATGGGGACCTGTGAAAAGAAAATGTTAGTATAACAAAATCTGAGTAGATCAGACAGTCTCAGTATGGCAGGAGATGCTTGATTGAAGTTCCTGACTGGGGTTCTAGTGTTGATTGAAGCTCTTATCTTGAAGCTCTGGTCAGATTGTAGAAGATGTGCTATTTCCGTTCCTTGGTCTGGAGTTGTGTCGAGTGATGTAGTTTCAAGCCAGTTTCAGGATAGTGCTTGTCAGGTGGAGTCAATGATGTGGGGCAGTTCAGATGCCTCCAGTTTGTTTGATGGTCCTCAGGGTAGCTATTCATTCTTCTACAGGAATCCATAAGTCCAGTATTCTTTGCTGAGTTTACCTGTGAAGACAAAACCAAAACACTTCTCTTTCCTTTTAGGAGGTCACTTTACCCATGGTGGACTATGAATTTGTCGATGGGCTGTTATCTTCCTCCTCCTGATATAATTGATTCATCCTCTGGAGCTAATGTATTATCCAGTGCCGTATTATTTACAATGGGCAGTGGATCTTCTAATTGTCCTGGGAGAGGCTGTCCTCCACTGTCACTGGGAATGACCGGATAATCTCTTTTCGGGGCTCGGTTGGCTTTAAAGATCTACCTTGTCTGTCTATTTTGGAATAGCATTCATCAGTCCAATGGCGCCCCTTCCCACACCTCCTGCATAGACCAGGAGGCTTAGGCCTTCTGTTTGATACATTCCTGGTAAAAGCATTATTTCTAGGAATGCGTTGTCTACAGTTCCTACTAAGATGTCCTATTCTACCACAGTTAAAGCATTTTGCATCTTTACGCCTATTTAAATTCTTTGAGATTGCCTTCCCTACCCATGCCTCTATATCATCACAGGTAGGGTATTTGGCATCCTGGTGCCTCCTCAAACCTGTAGAAATAGCTTCACCTACCCAAGCTCCTGTATCCTGACTTTTACATTCCAGGTTCGCTGTATGCAGAACCCATTCCTCCAATGGCGCTGATCTTATTTTTAATGGCCAAATTACCTGCCTGCATTGAGGATTCGCGTTCTCATACGCCAAAGATTCTATAAGGAGACGCCTGGATTCTGGGTTCGCTACCTGTACCTCTACTGCTCTGGATAATCTCTCTAAAAATTCAGTGAACCTTTCCCTTGGGCCCTGTAATACCTTGGTGTAGGGTTGCATTATCTCTCCTGTTTCACAAACCTTATCCAAGGCATTTAAAGCAGCTGTACGGCACAAAGACAACATGTGCTCGTCATATGCAGATTGAACCTGCGTGTCAGCGTAAGGACCCTCCCCAAGAATCTTGTCTTGGGGTACTTCATGACCGTTCTGCAATTCCTGAATCTCAATTGCTTTTGCTTCTTGCCTCCACAAAGCTCTCCATTGAATTTGGCAAGAATTTTCGAGTACTGCAGAGGCTAATTGGGCCCAGTCTTTTGGGGTTACTTTATTTACAGTAGCCCATGAGGTTAGGAGCTCTCTGACAAAGGGAGAATGAAGACCATACATGACAATGGCCTCCTTAATATTTTTTAGATCCTTCATCTGTATAGGCTCCCAGTGATAAGCAATGGGACCATTTGATTGTTTTTTCGTTGCTGGTTTTTCTGTTACAGATACTGGAAAAACCATAGGGGAACGCATAGCAACCTTAGGGAAATCATTCCGGCATTTGAGAAGCTTTGGGAAACTCCTGTCCTGACCTGTTGCCTGTATTTCTGATTCTGAAGTATCAGATTGAGCGTCTTCTAAATCCTGCAGTCTATTCATCATTGTTTCTCTGAGCTCTTGAAGTTCTTGGGACAAATGATTTTCTAAGGATGTCATGGAATCTTTCATTTTCTTACATTCATCATTTACATGTGATTCCAAATTTCTAATATTCTCATCCTTAGCAAGTACCTCAATAGCATGTAAACTGCCTTCTACAAATGATATTCTATCAGTTAGTTTACCATTGCTCTCAGACATGGAACAATTCTTTTCTGCTAGCATTTCAATTTTATGTTCCAGTCTTTGTAATTTGCTAGTGAAATCATCAAACATGGAACCGTGTTTGTCGTTAAATGTTTCCACATTATGTTCCAATTTTTCAATTCTATCTATGGAACACATTTTTCCTGAAAATAATTCAATTTTGTGTTCCGTCTCTTTAAACCTGTTCGTCAGACCTACATTATCATTTTTAATATCCTGAATATTTTCTACCAACCCTTTCTTACTCTCCTGCAATGAATTTTGCATTTCCTGAATCCTTTGTATTAAGATTTCAAAACTATCCTGCGATGACTGCATGACCTGTATAAGTTTATTCCTATTTTTGAGCCATTTCATTAACAAAATTATATTGATTATGAAGCTAATAATCACCATCATGGGTAGGAAGCACCTTTCAGGTAGGTCCTCAACCCTTTCTAAAATCCCATCCATACAAAAACCAAGAAAATTCTTAACATCCTGCATCATAGTGTTAGCTGTTGACATTGTATAAAGCAGTTACGTTTGTTACCAATGGAGTAATTCAGGCCGAAATCAACAGGCTGCCAGTGAGAGAGCACGTGGCCGGAGTCAGCTGGCCGCCAGTAAAACAGCACGTGGCCGTGAGAGAAACCTTGGAATACCTAACCTTACCGGCAGGTAGAAGGTGCTGGTTCCTGGCGGCAGGAATCTTGCCTTGCCGAGCGAAGTGGTGAGGAACTTAGCGAAAGGAGAGTCCACGTGCGCCTGGTCGGGCCGAGAGAAGCCGTTTTTTTCTGGGTCCCGATTCCAATCCCGCTCCGACACCAAACTGTTGGCTTTATGGACGCTGTAACGATACGCGACACACAATTACGGAAAGTGAAGCTAAGTATTTTATGTTGAAAATTACTCACAAGATACCAAACCCCGAGAAGCCCAGCAGATCTCCGCTAGCGACTGGACCGGAAGCCGAACTCCAGGAAAAGAGAGCGAGACTTCCTGTGCACTGTCTTTTATGCCTTCCCCCGTAACGCCCCCTAGCCATGCCCAAAAGTGGGCTTGGCTAGTGACGTAGTTCCGCCTACGTACGTATACGTCTTTACTTCCAGCCGTATACGTCTTTAGTCCTGCCTAAAGTGGGTGTGGTTAGCGGTGTGGTAAACCGCCCTTTTATTACCTCATCTGTATGTGCCTCTAGTAAGTCACATGTTTCATGGCGGCATAGACTTCCTCCTACAGAAACACTTTGGGAATTATTACGCACGTAAAACAGATTTTACAAGAACATAAGTGGCAGGAATTTAAATTCTCAGTCACAGAAATTCCTTAAACAAGGAAATATTGTTCAACCTGTAGGAGACAGGGGGATAATTCAGAGAACCAATATGATAGAAGAATCAATAGACTAGAAAACAAATAATTGGACTAGAATTCTAAAAAGCAGCATTTTCTGTGTCTGCATTGCCTACTAATATCTTCAATCATATAGAACAGATGTTTATTATCCCCAACCATGAATGTAGTGGCACTTACTGAAGGCATACTAAGGGTGTTACATGTTATGATGCACACACTACCAACTTTCTCCATGACTGTCCACGCTGGCAGGTTATTGAGTGGAAGCTGAAATCAAGAGTGTAGACAAAATGTAACAAAGATGTTGTAAGCCAAGAAAGTTATGGTCCATGTTGAGTCATGCCACAGGTCATCATGGTTCTATGCTATTTCCCACATCATGGATGATGTTAACTATAGTGTTCCTGGGGACAAGAGTAGTGGGAAGGAGAGAGAAAGAGAGAGAGAGAAAGAGAGAGAGAGAGAGAGAGAGAGGGGGGGAGGAGAAAGGGATGGGGGGGCAGAGGGAGAACAGAGGTGAAAGGTAAGAGGTGAGAGGTGAGAGGAGGCTAGGCTTTTATTAAGGAATGTAGCCAATGTGCACATGGGCTACTCTTAGAAGATACACATCTCACTGTATTAGGCAATACATAATGAGACACTTGATAAGTCTTACCTTCGTGGAGATCCCCCATGGAGGGCCTCACCCTCCCTGGGGATCAGAGTGGGGATTGGGAGGGGATTGGGGGGCCTAGTTGGGGAGGACCAGGGAGGAGGGGTGGGAAAGGGAGCTGGGATTGACATGTGAAGCAAGCTTGTTTCTAATTTAAATAAAAGATATACATATACAAAAAGATCCTGGGTTTCTGAGGCTAATATTCTCATTCTAGTTAGCTGCAATAATTAGGTAGATTTTTATGAGAACATTAAACACAGTTCTAAGCCATATGAAGATTCAGTTTTAACTTGAAAGTAAATCATACAGTTTCTTTTTTTCCCATTCTTTTTTTTTTGGTTTCATTTTTTCTTTTTTTTTTTTTTAGAAGCACTCTTATTTTAGATATCGATACCGCTATTCCTTAGCCCTCCCATGCGCCCAAGCCCCTCACTGACCCCCCCAACCCTACCCCCTCCCAGGGACAGTGAGGCCCTCCACAAGGACCATCAAAGTCCTTCACATCATTTGGGG